GGCATAAATTATATTCCTGCTCTTTAACAATTGAATCCTGTATCAGCTTTCCATTATTTTGCCCAAGATTGAGGTCAGGCTAACCAGCATGGTCATCCAGCTTTCACTTTTTGAATGTGGGCACAATATTAGTACTCTTACAGTCTTCTGGAACTTCCCAAGCACTCCAAACTGTATTAAAAATTAACATTAGTGGGCCAGAGATTTGCTTAGCCAACTGTTTTAGATCTCTTCAATGCAAGTTGCCTGGGTCTGCTGATCAGGTGGAAAGTATTTAATCATCCTTGTGATATGATTAAATCATCCCGCTTCTTTCCAAATACTAAACAGAAACATTTATTGAACACTTTCTGCATCATTATTAACAATTTCACCATCTCCATCCAGTGTTATGTCTATACCCCCTATACAATTGGTAGGATTTCTTTTGTTCCTAATATACTTTTCATACTCTTTATTGTCCTTAGCTCTGATAACATTTCTTATCAATTCTCTACACTTCATAACATTCAGAATAATGGGCCTACTGGATGAGGGGAAGCAGTAGGTGTGATATAAACGGATTTTAGTAAGGCTTTTGTCATAGTCCCACATGACAGTCACATAAGCAAACTAGAGAAATGTGGCCTAGATGAAATTACTATAAGGAGGTACACAACTATACTCAAAGAGTAAAAAGAAAAGGAGTACTTGTGGCACCTTAGAAACTAACCAATTTATTTGAGCATGAGCTTTCGTGAGCTACAGCTCACTTCATCGGATGCATACTGTGGAAACTGCAGAAGACATTATATACACACAGAGACCATGAAATAATAGCTCCTCCCACCTCACTGTCCTGCTGGTAATAGCTTATCTAAAGTGATCATCAAGTTGGGCCATTTCCAGCACAAATCCAGGTTTTCTCACCCTCCGCCCCCCCCGCCCCCACAAACTCACTCTCCTGCTGGTAATAGCCCATCCAAAGTGACCACTCTCTTCACAATGTGTATGATAATCAAGGTGGGCCATTTCCAGCACAAATCCAGGTTCTCTCACTCCCTCACCCCCTCCAAAAACCACACACACTGTCAGACTAACACGGCTGTTACTCTGAAACCACTCAAAGAGTAGTTATCAAATGATTCACTGTCACACTGGGAGGACATACCAAGTGGGGTCCCACAGGGATCTGTCCTAGATCTGGTACCATTCAATATTTTTATTCACTCCACCATCCATGTTGTTGAGAGTATGCTTACCAAATTTGCAGGTGACACCAAGCTGGGAGAGGTTGCAAGCACTTTGGAGGAACCGATTAGAATTCAAAATGATCTTGATAAATTGGAGAATTGGCCTGAAATCAATAAGATGAAATTCAATAAGTCAAGTACTTCAATTAGGAAGGAAAAATGGGGAATAACTGGCTAGACACCAGGACTGCAGAAAAGGATCAGGGGGTTATAGTGAATCACAAATTGAATATGAATCAACAATGTGATGCTGTTGTAAAAAAGGCAAATGCCATTCTGGGATATATGTTAACCAGAGTGTCATATGTGAGACACAGGAGTTAATTTTTGAGCTCCATTTAGCACTGATAAAACCTCAGCTAGAGCACTATGTCTAGTTTGGGGCACCAAACATAGCCCTGGTCTACACTAGGACTTTAGGTCGAATTTAGCAGCGTTAAATCGATGTAAACCTGCACCCGTCCACACAATGAAGCCCTTTATTTTGACTTAAAGGGCTCTTAAAATCGATTTCCTTACTCCACCCCGACAAGTGGATTAGCGCTTAAATCGACGTTGCCGGCTCGAATTTGGGGTACTGTGGACACAATTCGATGGTATTGGCCTCCGGGAGCTATCCCAGAGTGCTCCATTGCGACCGCTCTGGACAGCACTCTCAACTCAGATGCACTGGCCAGGTAGACAGGAAAAGAACCGCGAACTTTTGAATCTCATTTCCTGTTTGGCCAGCGTGGCAAGCTGCAGGTGACCATGCAGAGCTCATCAGCACAGGTGACCATGATGGAGTCCCAGAATCGCAAAAGAGCTCCAGCATGGACCGAACGGGAGGTACGGGATCTGATCGCTGTTTGGGGAGAGGAATCCGTGCTATCAGAACTCCGTTCCAGTTTTCGAAATGCCAAAACCTTTGTGAGAATCTCCCAGGGCATGAAGGACAGAGGCCATAACAGGGACCCGAAGCAGTGCCGCGTGAAACTGAAGGAGCTGAGGCAAGCCTACCAGAAAACCAGAGAGGCGAACAGCCGCTCTGGGTCAGAGCCCCAAACATGCCGCTTCTATGATGAGCTGCATGCCATTTTAGGGGGTTCAGCCACCACTACCCCAGCCGTGTTGTTTGACTCCTTCAATGGAGATGGAGGCAATACGGAAGCAGGGTTTGGGGACGAAGAAGATGATGATGAGGAGGAGGTTGTAGATAGCTCACAGCAAGCAAGCGGAGAAACCGGTTTTCCCGACAGCCAGGAACTGTTTCTCACCCTAGACCTGGAGCCAGTACCCCCGAACCCACCCAAGGCTGCCTCCTGGACCCAGCAGGCGGAGAAGGGACCTCTGGTGAGTGTACCTTTTAAAATACTATACATGGTTTAAAAGCAAGCATGTGAAAGGATTACTTTGCCCTGGCATTTGCGGTTCTCCTAGATGTAGTCCTAAAGCCTTTGCAAAAGGTTTCTGGGGAGGGCAGCCTTATTGCGTCCTTCATGGTAGGACACTTTACCACTCCAGGCCAGTAACACGTACTCAGGAATCATTGTAGAACAAAGCATTGCAGTGTATGTTTGCTGGCATTCAAACAACATCCGTTCTTTATCTCTCTGTGTTATCCTCAGGAGAGTGAGATATAATTCATGGTCACCTGGTTGAAATAGAGTGTTTTTCTTCAGGGGACACTCAGAGGAGCCCATTCCTGCTGGGCTGTTTGCCTGTGGCTAAACAGAAATGTTCCCCGCTGTTAGCCACAGGGAGGGGGGAAGGTTGAGGGGGTAGTCACGCGGTGGGAGGAGGCAAAATGCGACCTTGTAACGAAAGCACATGTGCTATGTATGTAATGTTAACAGCAAGGTTTACCCTGAAAGAGTGTAGCCACTGTTTTATAAAATGTGTCTTTTTAAATACCGCTGTCCCTTTTTTTTTCTCCACCAGCTGCATGTGTTTCAATGATCACAGGATCTTCTCCTTCCCAGAGGCTAGTGAAGCTTAGAAAGAAAAAAAAACGCACTCGCGATGAAATGTTCTCCGAGCTCATGCTGTCCTCCCACACTGACAGAGCACAGACGAATGCGTGGAGGCAAATAATGTCAGAGTGCAGGAAAGCACAAAATGACCGGGAGGAGAGGTGGCGGGCTGAAGAGAGTAAGTGGCGGGCTGAAGAGAGTAAGTGGCGGGCTGAAGACAGGGCTGAAGCTCAAATGTGGCGGCAGCGTGATGAGAGGAGGCAGGATTCAATGCTGAGGCTGCTGCAGGACCAAACCAGTATGCTCCAGTGTATGGTTGAGCTGCAGCAAAGGCAGCTGGAGCACAGACTGCCACTGCAGCCCCTCTGTAACCAACCGCCCTCCTCCCCAAGTTCCATAGCCTCCACACCCAGATGCCCAAGAACGCGGTGGGGGGGCCTCCGGCCAACCAGCCACTCCACCACAGAGGATTGCCCAAAAAAAAGAAGGCTGTCATTCAATAAATTTTAAAGTTGTAAACTTTTAAAGTGCTGTGCTTAAAGTGCTGTGTGGCATTTTCCTTCCCTCCTCCACCACCCCGCCTGGGCTACCTTGGTAGTCATCCCCCTATTTGTGTGATGAATGAATAAAGAATGCATGAATGTGAAGCAACAATGACTTTATTGGCTCTGCAAGCGGTGATTGAAGGGAGGAGGGGCGGGTGGTTAGCTTACAGGGAAGTAGAGTGAACCAAGGGGCGGGGGGTTTCATCAAGGAGAAACAAACAGAACTTTCACACCGTAGCCTGGCCAGTCATGAAACTGGTTTTCAAAGCTTCTCTGATGCGTACCGCGCCCTCCTGTGCTCTTCTAACCGCCCTGGTGTCTGGCTGCGCGTAACCAGCAGCCAGGCGATTTGCCTCAACCTCCCACCCCGCCATAAACGTCTCCCCCTTACTCTCACAGATATTGTGGAGCACACAGCAAGCAGTAATAACAGTGGGAATATTGGTTTCGCTGAGGTCTAAGCGAGTCAGTAAACTGCGCCAGCGCGCCTTTAAACGTCCAAATATGATTTTTAAGGAAAGGTCATAAGGAATAAGAGGTTAAGAAAACATGATTTTTAAGGAAAGGTTGAAAGAATTGGGAACTTAGCATAAAGAAGGTAAGACCGAGAGGGGGATATGATCACAGTCTCCAGATACGTACAAGGTTGTTATATACGTGGTGTGTGAGAGGTCACGCTGGTGGGGGTGGAGTTTGCATTATGAGGTCTCCCTCATACCAGACAAAACCACCTCCAGTGGTATCTCTGCCCCAGCCAGGGGACAAAGGTTGGTCTAGCAGAACCAGGGGTTTAAATCCGGACGAATGGACAGCCTGGACCATTGTGACCATGGAGTCTGACGCCCCTGGAACCCAGGTCACAGAACCTCCCCAGACTCAGGAATTCCCACTGACCATCTTAGGCCAAGGAGCTGAGGCCACGGCATCGGGGAGGGAAATCCATCACCCACCCTTAGGTGCCGCAGCTTCCCCTCCCCCCGCCCCTTCAGTACCCCACAGCACAGGTATTGGGTATTGGGGTCAGAGATAGAAAGCTGTGGGGGAAGCCCCGCCCTCTGCCTCTCCTCGATGTGGCATCGGACCGTGCACCTGTCACTCAGGCTATCCAGTCACTGCAGGCCCCTCCTCCCGTCACTTTTGAAATCCAGCCGCGAAGTGTCAGGCGCTCCCTCGGGGGAGGGAGAGGTACATTTCCCAGCAAGCTCCGCGGGCGGAAGGGGAGATATTTGCGAGGCGGCGCGCGCCGCTGCGCTCAGAGAGAGCCAGTGGCGTGGAGCGCGCGGCCGGTAACGCTCCGGGCAGGGCAGACTCCGGCCGGGCTCGCGGCGGCCGTTTCCGAGCCGCCCACCCCTCGCGGCGGCGCCATGGGGCCGCAGGAGCCGGCGCGGAGCGGCCCCGCCGCCCTGTCCCCGGCAGCGCTGGGGAAGCTGAAGCAGCGGGCGGCGGAGTGCATCGAGCTGAGCGCCGGGCGGCTGAGCGCCCTGAGCCGAGAGATCTGGAGCCGCCCCGAGCTGGCCTACGAAGAGCACCAGGCGCACGGCGCCATGACCCGCTTCTTCGCCTGCGCCGAGCTGCCGGGGGCCGCCTGGGCTGTGCAGCCGCACTACAAGCTGGACACGGCCTTCCGGGCCGAGTGGGGCCCCGCCGCCCCGGCCCCGCGGCCGCTGCACTTGGGCTTCCTGTGCGAGTACGATGCGCTGCCCGGGATCGGACACGCCTGCGGCCACAACCTCATCGCCGAGGTGGGGGCCGCTGCGGCCCTGGGCGTGAAGGGCGCCCTGGAAAGTCTGCCCCAGCCGCCTCCCGCCGCAGTGAAGGTGAGAGCCGGCGGGGAGGTGGGCGATCCGTCGCTCCAGGGGGAACCTGCCCGGGGAATGAGGGGAGCTGGCCCAATTTGGTCCCCATCCCGTTGCTGCCCAATACAGCCTCTCATTTTCCAACCTTAGCTTGCTCTTCCTGGCCATCAAAGACACCAAGAAGCCTGGGTCTCCAGCATGTCTGCTCAGTAATTCCCTCGCCTATCCCCGTGGGGTTTATTTTTGTGCCAGTCAGGTGTGTTTAGAGAGACAAGGTGGGCGAGGTAAGGTCTTTTATTGGACTGGCTTCTTGTGGGCGAGGGAGATACGGGGAGCTCTTCTTAAAGAGTGTGTGTATGTAACTGCAGCCTGCCACTGACACCCTGGTTCTCACCAGCCTTTGTTATACTGCAAGGTAGTGGCTATTTGTGAGCCGTCAGGGTTGGAGGCTACAGCAGCAGGGCATTGCAAAACACCCCAGGTTACAGGGCAGGGATGATACAGGCCCCCTCCACTGGTTTGTGTAAACATGAAATATTGTCTCTCTCACCAACAGAAGTTGGTCTAATAAAAGATATTACCTCATCCACCTTGTCTCTATAACATTCTGGGGCCAGCATGTACAGCACAACTGTGTACAACAAAATCAGGTTGTTGAAAATTTTGCTGACCCCTAACCTTCTCTTCTAGATCACAGTGCTGGGGACTCCTGCAGAAGAAGGTGGAGGCGGAAAAATAGATCTCATAGAAGCTGGTGCTTTTGATGATCTGGATGTTGTTTTTATGGCCCATCCAGCACAAGATGATGCTGCTTATTTTCCTGATGTGGCTGAGCATGAGTAAGTAAGGTGTATGAAAGACTTTTTTTTCTGCTTTCTGTACATCAGAACCTTTTCAGCAAAGGGAGACCTGCTTTTAAAGTGGTTAAACTTGGAGTCTGGTAATCACTGGTATTCCTCATATATAATATGTAGTCAGTTCATGAGAAAGTTGATGTACTCAGTACTGAGCACTGAAACCCAGTTCTTGTGTTCTTCTAAAATGTAATGTTCAGGCCTGCATCTGTTATGTTTTTTGTTACAAGAATTTTAGAGTTAGTATCTAGTCAGGGTAGCAAGTGGTATTTCATTTAATTGATAAAACTTAGATATGTCATGCTTAGTTAAGGAAGCCAACACAAATCCTGACTCTGCAATTCAGAAATTCAGAGTTAGAAATAATGCATTGTTATATAGCATATTATGCTTTCTGGGAAAATATTTGTCCATGTTGGTCCCACAAAATTCTCTCTTAGACATTTGCTGTATTTTATTGCTCAAAGATGCAGTCTTTTTGTGCAAGCTGTATATTTTTCAATTTCCTGAAATTCTTTATTCTCCCTTGGACTGATTCTTTTAAAATATCCCAAAACAAACATTTTCATGCATCTTAAAGCCTTCTAAAGTTAATTAAGTAAAATTAAAAAGTAAATATTTTCCAAAGTATGATTGTTTCCATCCACAATGATAGATACAATAGTGTTCGAACTGAAGCACTGTTAGCCTTAATTGGAAGGGGGGAAATGTTCAGACTCTTGAATTGGAGATGACTTTGCTCTCTATTCTAAAGCAGAATGAAAGCTAGTTGGTATAAAACAACATTGCCACTAATTTCAAGAGCGTGAAATGCTTTTTTCTTGAAGAACCCATGTTTCATGGCTTTATATACAGGTACTATCCAAGGATTCAAGAGCAAGCTGTAAAAATTGTTTTTCTCCATTTACCCTGTTGGTAGCCAACCAGTTTGTCCCACTTCTGCTTCAAATTAATCTTGAAGATTTGCTTAAATAAAAGTTGTTATGTAATTCACCAGAAATAATCTGTCCTCTTCAAGTAAATTTACTTACATCCTATATGAGTGCACAGCTTTCCAGGTTTCATAACAAAGTAATGAAAGTGTGTGATTTCAAATTCACATTAACTTGGCAGTGCCTGCCTCTAGGTTAGTATCTCTGAAAAGACATTGTTTTCTCTCTCAAGCAGAAGATTTAACTAGTCTTTGGTCTCTGAGGTTTTTTCCTCCTTCATCTGTGTCTCTGGGACTGATTGTAACCTGCCCTTTTCATCTCAAGGACCCATCCTCCCGAAGTAAAATAGAGTAGCCTGTGCCCAAGATTTTGCAGTCTGTATTTTCTCAAACTTATTATTTCCTCTACAAATATTTAAGGCTTATTTGATCCTAGACTGTAGTCAGTAGTATGTTTCTGCAAATGTTAACTGCTTCCTATACCTGAAACTTCATTAATGTAAATGTATAACTTATAAATCTTATGGTTTCTTTTGACAGACTTTCATTTAATAGACTTCCAATTCTTGTCCACTCGCCTCCTCCTTAATCACCTCATTCTTAGTTTTGTATTGTTGAACAAAAAGGATCTGGTTCTCTGTTCTGAAGTGAACTGTCTAGTGCTGTGGGGGAGGGGGAGTTCTCAAGCTGTCACAGCATGGATCACTTTGTCAGATTCTTGTGAAAAATCTCATCTTCTAGGCAAGGTTGTATTACATTCCTGTGGCAACAACAGAATCTGCATGGAAAAGTAATGTTGGGAAAGTCTATATTGTTGCCTTTAGAGTTATATGTGCTTTTACTTTGAAAAACTGTGCACACTACTTTTTGCTCTTAACTTCCTCTCCCCTTCCACTTTTCCATTGGGTAGAAACCAGAAAGACAGCAAGCACCGTGAAACATGGTGTGCTCCCTGTTTACCATCACTAAGTCCTCCTGTGGACCAGTTTTGGGATCTTTGAACTAGTGGTTCGAGCATAGGATAGACAGTCAATAGATCTGGGCTCTATTCCCAGCTATCCATTGCAAAAGTCACATCTATGCTCATTCACTTCAGTTCATGTATTTGGAAAACGATGATAGGATTGTTGAGGCTTAATGTTTGCCTTGAATGAAAGGCTGTCAATAAGTTTGAATAACTGAATAAATATTTGTTAAAAGGCTCTTTAGGAAGCTGATAGGTTGTTAAACTAAATGGTCTCTTTTGCCCCAGAATGCTTATGGTATGGATTGGCTTCATTTTGAAGTTCAGGTTGCACAGTTTTACAGCCTTGCAAAAACTACCCAATCATTTGAACTGAATAACTTTTGTGCTAGGCTTCTGCATTTCTAAAGGCTAGGGTATAATTTGTGGAATTGGAGTCAGGCGGGAGGGAGGAAGATGGGATGTATGTTTGGGGCTTGTAACAGTGCAGGTTTTATTTTAAGACACTAGAGGTGCATTCACCTCCATATTTGAGGCTTCTTTTCTGCCATCACTAGCCCCAAGGATCTTCAAAGCTAACTTACATTTCGGCTAATGTCTTCTGGCCACAAGTTATAATTTTTTCCTTACACTGAATTTATACAAAGTATCTGATAATCACCTCCTTAAAGACTGTTTTGTGTCTTTGCCATGTCTTATTTCAAATGGATTGTCCTGGAAACTTCAATGATGTACATCCAAAAATGTTGGTGAGATTTAGTTCATACTCCATTACTGAGTTGGGGGGAGGGAATACTCAAGAAGGTGTTTGTGGGTTGTTTTTTGGTTTTTGGTTTTCTTGTTAACTCGAAACCTCAGAATGGGGTGGTCTGGCTCCAGCAGATTTGGGACATACATGACTGGTGAGGACATCAGCTTTAGCTGAAAAATACAAAAAACCCAAAACAAACCTCTCCTCTTCCTGTTTGTGGGTATGCAACCCCCTTCTCAAACTACCCCATGAACTGTTGTTTCTTGCCTAATACCAGCTATTGGCTGACAGCCAGAGTTCTTAACCCACTCTTGGTATCTTCTCTGCCCCTTTTCCCCTCCACCGCTAATCTTGTGGCTCTATTCCCTGTACATTCCTTCAATTATTCTCAAGTTGGTGCCAACAATATCTCTAGGGAAAACTGTCAATATCCTTTCCCTGGTACCTGAGCCAAACTTTCACTTCTCTAAGGCAATAAAGTTCCATTGCAGTGGGGGATTACTGGATAATGGAAAATCTAGGAACTTACTATTTGCCACATTTATGTGGTAGGAAGAGGTCAGGAAGCTCTCCAGAATCTGTGCCCTTGGGTAAGAGGTTTAGGTCATAAGCACCTGGGCCAGATGTATCCTATAACTGCCTTCAAGTAATCTTTTTGTCCATTACTTCAACAGGCTTCCATTCTGTACCAGGTTCCATAGATTCTTGCTCCAAGTTTCAGATTTGCTTCCTTGAACATTGTATTAAAACAAATCCGTTAAGATTAAATTTATAATAATCCTAAACATTTGCAAGTATGAAAGGCTGCAGTTGATGCACCCAAATGAATTTTGCTGCTTAGTGATAATCTGATCACTAAAGGGCAAAGTTAAGGTAATTTGAATCCCTTATCTATGACCTTCTATATTGCCAAACCAGAAACTTACTCGTCAATAAAACACATTTCGTTAGTGATCATTAGAATACCGTACTCTGAAGTATACAATGGTTATATTGATTTTAGTAGTCTTTGTGACTATACATTCAGCACATGCTCTACTGATAGCATGCTGAAGATTATTTTATGTGCCACCAATTGACAAGTGTCATTAAACAGTGAACTTGTCTTGTTATTCTAAACCTCTTAGGCCCAGATAATGGAGCTCTAGGAAGCGCACACAAAGAACAAAGGGGTATTAGCAAAGCATCATAGTGCCATACCTTGCATGTGGTGCAAATTATAAAAACCAATAATCTGGTGCACATGTTTAATGGTGCATGTGTTCAGTGTTTCATCTGCAAGTAGTATCTTCTCCAAATATAAGACTTCAGACATCAAGATTTGAATGAAAACAAATGTAAAAGGGAAATAGGCTGCTAACAGTTCAGTCACTTTACAAATTCTATCCCATGGACAAGTGTTTTCTTTATCTTAACCCTTACTCTGAATTTTGTGAATGTCTAAATTTCATGGTTTTTCTTTAATTTACAGAGGGTTGTGTTTTTTTGCTCTGGGAATACATTTAATTTAAAGCTTCAATAGCCTTAAGGAGTTTGTTTTCAAAACATGATGAGTTCTTGCTAAGGAAAAATGTTGATACTGATTGCAGATAGGCAAGAACTTAAAGGTATAGATTTGATATTGTCAATAAGGAACTTCAGAGTAAATTATGCTATTTGTACAATGCATCTAATTGCTGTCCATGTTGGCAACCAGCACCTGGACCTCTTTGGCTATGTCTACACTGCAGTTGGTGTGATTGCAGCTCAAGTAGGCATACCTATGCTAGCTTTACTCTAGCTAGAATGGATAAAAATATTAGTGGTGATGCAGCTGCAGTGGCTTCCCTGCTATTTTTAGTTATGCTAGCTAGATTAAAGGTACAATCACACCTTTTTGATTGCAGTGTAGACATGTTAATCCTGTTGAAATCTGCCTTAATGGTGTGTAGACAACTTTTTATCTACTTATCTGAATTTCAAACATCTATCATCCTCCTCTGACTGCATATTCTTATAAATCACATATAGAAGAGGGGAAGCACAAAAAATTGCAATGGACTTCCTTTTAACCGTTTTCTATGTAGTTTCATCCTGCTTCAAATCTATTTTCTTCTCTGGCTCATCTTACCTCTGCCCTAGAGACGCTACCAATTTCTGAGGAGGAGGTAAAAGAGGCTTTATGCTAGCCCATACCCTGGCTTCTATTATTAAATGGTTAGGTGCATAGTAGGACTCTTGCTGGCAAGAAGTGGATGGCAATAATTTATATAGCAGGATATAGCTATTTTTACTACAGATCTGTTCTTAACCTTTTTAAATGTATATAGTGCATTTTCTATTTTGTTTTCAACTTTAGAGTGTTGGCAGAGTTTGGGGAGGGAAAGGACAAACTTAATTTCTAAATCTCTTTCAGGATCTATGCGTTGGTGGTTAAAGGTGTTTAGCTTCCCGACAGTTTAGGGCCTGGTAAATCACAGCTTAATCATATGCTTCAAAAACATTGATATAAAATTTTAATCATTGTTGAGTGAATCCAAAGGGACTTTGATTTTAGTTTTTAAAAGTGGACAAAAAACAAATAAGTCATGGCTTTTATTTCCTAGTGTGACTGTGAAATACTATGGAAAAGCTTCTCATGCTGCTGCTTATCCTTGGGAAGGAATAAATGCATTAGACGCTGCTGTTCTTGCATACAACAATCTGTCAGTTTTAAGACAGCAAATGAAACCAACCTGGAGAGTTCATGGTGAGAGAGCTTCATTCAATCTTATGTCCACCAAGTAAGACTTCTGGCTGTTTGGATACTGACTGAAAAAAATCCTAAATATTGCATTGTTACATTTAACTGGAAAAGTAATTTGAAATAATTACATTTTTCATCCAAATACCTTTCTAAGGGAACTTCTATGGTACCATCAACATTTAGTATAAACTGTTGAATGCAGACCAATAGGAGGGCAGTATGGTCTAAAGTCATAAGCATTTTTCCTCTACATTTACACAAATGAGACACTTAGTATATTAATACAGATTTAATATTTACACAAACCGAATGTAGCACTTAACTGCCAAACTTGTCTAAGAATCAAGACACTAATGGTGAAGATGCTCTATTGGTATGACTATAGCCATACAACTGCTTTGTAAACTGGAAACAACGTTTTTAGGGAAACTTGACCAGCTGGAACAAGATGTAACATGAGCAATAAAAGCTTCCCTTGATAAAGGTTTAAGGATCTTGTCACTTAGTTGAGGCAACAGCTAATAACCTTCCAAGGAACCTGAACTTGTAAAATGAATGTCCTAAACTATCCTCTAGTATTAAAATATATATTTTAGGCCTCTGATTAATGTCAAACTGAAGTATATCTTGAGACCTCCCTTCAGCAATACTTTGAAAGATTAACTTTTTTGGTGGGGGAGAAGAGTAAGGCTAGGATTCCAGGCAGGCTTATTTTTCTTCCCCAAATGTTGCTAGCTTGCCAAAAGTACTAGGAAAATCAGTATTTTGTTCTTTGACTCTTTCCAGTTTTGTTAATGTGTTATAGCACATCTTTAAGCAGTTTTCTCCTGTGCTTTCTTTCTTTGGAAAACTACGTATTGTAGTGTGTGCATTGCACAAATCTGCTTGACTGCCCACTTGCCAATTCCTTGTTTGAGCAAAATAACTTTTGCTGGCATCCATCCATTATTCTTATCTCAAAGCCTCTGCCACCATTGCATGCAGTGCTCTCCTCTTCTACTTTAGCTTATGTAGCATTTGGTTGCCATATCTTTCAGGACTTTCGCATTCTGAATCAGTATTTCTGTGTATTGAGACTACAGGATCTTGTTCACATTTGCCTCTTGATAGCCCTACCCTGCCAGGTGCCAGTTACAGTAAGCAATTGGTAGTGCTCACAATATTTTGAACGGCCCTTGAATTCAAGTGTACTAACACAAGGTGATTTCTTAGCTTTGGTTGGAGTCTTAATCATGCCAGCTATATTAACTGGCAGGTATGGTATGGGAACACTAGCAACAGGTCTCTTCCCACTGAAGTTATGATAACAAAAGATAGCTATCTGTTGTGGAGAGAAGAAATCTAATGTGTTGCTGAGTAAGTTGTGTAGAACATATAACAAGAAATAACTTTATTCGTTAGCTGGCTTTTTCCGTTCCCATATCTGGACATGATGGACTGGTATCCATTTGTTTGAAGGAACATTTTCTGTTCAAACTTGGCTCAAATTAGGCTTTGTAAGAAAATAAGATTTTACAAAATTTAAAATCAATGGAGATGTTTCCAAAGAATGGCCAGAGTCAATGAGGATACTAGCGAGTTTGCTTTCTTTGTTGCAGCAAATGCCAATTACTTTGCAATGACTAATTTAAACTTGTCAGTGTGCTAAAACAGGAGAACCTGAAGTTGACGGGAAGCCAACTGATCTTTTCTTCATTGTTCAAACTAGCAAAGCAAAATAGCAACACATGGCATAAATGATAAGTAAACTTTCAAAAACCCCTAGAGTTTTTGAATCCAAGGCGGTCTTTGTAACATAGGTAAGGATACTATTTTTAAAAAGTTTAACTTAACACTACCAGTATGGCTGTAACCATGAGGAATGTGAAAATCAAGACGTATGCTTTTGTAACTTAAACTCTGGAGAAGTACTTGGCTATATTTAAACTAAGTGCTTACGTTTTGATCTGTGAACTTCTGTCACATATTCATTCATTTAATTTCTCTTGTTGTCCCAGCATTGTCAAGATTTTCGCAGTTTAGAATGTTTGCGGTGAATAGCAGGGGAGAACTGTAAATGCTACTTTTGCCTTTTTTTTGTGTGTATGAACTCAAGGTGAATAACTGAGTTGTCTCCAAAAGAATGCAGTGATACCAACCTAAGAAGCCTGTATACATGATATGTTGTGAAAGCTTCTCTCTTTTCAGCTGAAGTTGGTCCAATAAAAGATATTGCCTCACCCACCTTGTACACATGATACTCCTTTCTATTGCGCAGACTGCAAGGGGAAGTAACTGGGTCCAAATTCAAAGTTTTTTAAATGGTTATTCTCAGTACTTAGTGCTCAGCTGATGCCTTATTTCTAATACTTTTGTTTTATGTGTGCAGCTATAAATGAGGAGCTTCATAAGACAGTAAGTAAGATGGCTTGATCCTTTGCAACATTCAATAATTGGGCTCTTCTCTTCTGTAGGTATAATAAAAAATGGTGGCGTGAAACCTAATATCATCCCTTCTTACACTGAACTAGAGTTTTACTTGCGTGCCCCTTCACTGAAGGACCTTGCCATTCTGACAGAGAGAGCTGAAAATTGCTTCAAAGCAGCAGCTGTGGCCACAGAATGCAAAGTAAGAATTCTAGAGCTGATTCATTTATTTTTATCATTTTGAAGTTAGGCCAAAATGGGAGCCTAAGTCTTCATTTATATGGTTTGTATCACCCTTACCTTTTTTAAAGCAACCTAAAATTTAGATCTCTAAGTACTAATCCGCTACTCTACTATGTGCTGAAAAAGATTTTGTTGGTGAGGAGAAATATTTAGTTGCTACAATTCTAAATATTCTAGATTTTTCAACTGAAGCTTTCCCCAGTCTTATGCCATAAGTAAAAGTGTTCCCAATAGTTCACTCAGGTTTTAAAAAAAAAATTGTATCGGTCTTGACCAAGTCAGGACATCTTGCAATTTATCTCTAACTTCTGAGACTGTAGTTTAAAGTATAGCTAGTGGCTGTCTGCCATATTGCTGTGACAGAAACGTGTGTGTGTGTGTTGTGTTGTAAAGGGGCTAATTAATTTGTAGCCTCAATACATGGTGAGTGAGTTAGTGAGGACCAAGTTAAAATTCATGGAAGGCTCTTAATGAAAATTGCTTTCCCTACTGGCCTTTGCTCCAGTTAGAGAAGAATTTCAATAAGGCTAGTTTATAATGAAGGTAAATCAGCAAGGCCTCAGTGTAAACTCTGACCAAAGCCATTTCTCTGGCTTCCTTGCCTGTGTCTTTTTTCCAAACCACATGGCAATCTAGCTTCACCCAGAACCCTACTGTGGATGTTACAAAGGGCTGTTATTATCTGGACAGAATTAGGCATGGGAGAAATCAAACCGATTGAGTCTTTAGTGATCTATCTAATGACTTGCAGCCCAGCTTGCTAGTTACAGTAGAACCTCAGTTATAAACGCCTCAGGAATGGAGGTTGTTCATAACTCTGAAATGTTCATAACTGAACAAAACGTTATGGGTTTCGAGTTACAACCGAACATTGACTTAATACAGCTTTGAAACTTTACTATGCAGAAGAAAAATGCTGCTTTCCCTTTAATTTTTAGTAGTTTACATTTAACACAGCGCTGCCTGATTGTGTATTTCTGGTTCCAGATGAGGCGTGTAGTTGACTGGTCAGTTTATAACTCTGGTGTTTGTAACTCTGAAGTTCTACTGAACTTACAATGGGGGATCTGTTGAGGCAATATTATAAAGAGGAAACAAGCCTATTTAGGCCATGTCTACACTACAAACTTTGGTCGACAGAAAATGTATAGTTGCTAAATCTTTGTACCTGCTCAAGTGATATACTTATTTGGTTGCTTGTGTCCGTGCTGTGTGTACGCAGCAGGCTTGCTTGTATTGATGAAAAGTGAAGATAGATATCCCAGTATGCTGCCGTTCAGTGCAATGCCTTTTGGGAAACTTTCTCAGTGTGTTGTGGGGTAGAAATTAGTTGCACAGAGATCTCCTGGGAATTAGGGGTCAAGTTCCCAGTATGCAACTTTCTCCATCTCATATTGCCATCCATTTCCCATAATTTTTGCGCCTTAAAAAAAAAGTGCCACAAATTTGCTCAGCACTTCTTAGTGTCTGCCATCTCAGACAGAAGCGTGGAGCACACAGAGATCTGTGCTGCTCTTGTGAACATTCAGATACAGGATACATGATTCTCCTGTATTTGCAGACCCACTGGAAGTACTGCAACAGGGGATATGACTTCTTTGAGAACAGTTTGCTCAGAGACAAAGTGAAAAACAACTTGGTGGTGATAAGGAAGCAGCTGCAGACAGTGGAGCACCATTGTTGGACCCAAGAAAAAAGCAGTGAGTGGTGGGATTGTATTGTAATGCAGGTTTGAGACTATGGACAATGGTTGCAGAATGTTCAGATGTGAAAGGCAACATTCCTGCAACTGTGTGCTGAGCTCACCCTAGCCGTCCAACTCAGACCATAGACTTTAAGGTCAGAAGGGACCATCATGATCATAGCCTGACCCCCTGCACGTTGTAGGCCACAGAACCTCACCCACCCACCCCTGTAATAGACTCCTAACCTCTGGCTGAGCTACTGAAGTCCTCAAATCATGATTTAAAGACTTCAAGTTACAGAGAATCCCCCATTTACACTAGTTTAATCCTGCAAGTGCTGCAGAGGAAGGTGAAAACCTGCCACGGTCTCTATCAATCTGACCTGTGGAAAATTCCTTCCAGACTTTAAGTATGGTGATCAGTTAGATCAGTGGTTCTGTCTCAACCTTTTTCGTTTGTGAACTGCTAAAAAATGGAGTTGAATGAAGGTGTAAACCCCTTTGGAAATCTTAAATGTAGTCTGTGGACCCTGAGGGGTTCATGGACCACAGATTGCCCAGGCTGTCTAGTGTCCCTTGGGACAATGGTTCTCAATCTTGCTAGCCAAAGACTGTTTCCATTTTGGTAACGCCCTCCCTGCTGTTTTGATATGTACAGATGCTTCTGATTCAAAAGCTCAGGAAATACAGGTGGTCAACAGCTGCAAACTATTAACTTCCAAATCATGTCTGTCTTAAAAACCAACTGCTCTGCTCTGATTTGTATGTCAGTGTAAAGCAGTGGATGTCTGACAAATGCTGTCTGTTTGCCCGGCTTCTTGCCCATAAAGTATGCGCTTGGTATTGGGTGTGGCAGAAGAACCTGAATACAATAGAATTGCTATTATATCCCCATATCTGACTTTTGCAGACCGAGTTTTGAGTGAAATCATCACCGCATGCTTCATCTGCTTGCAACTACACCCAGACAAACCCTTCAGGAATTTGTGTGGGTTTAACAAAGGGCAGAATTTGGTCCTTGACAGCATTTTAAAGCACATTGTGTTTTGTCCACATTTGGACTAGAAGCTTAACCCAAAAGGAATGACTTGGCCTATGAAAAGGTACCATTAAATGGACAAACTTCAGCAAAGTTGATTCAGGGGCACCCATCTGCTTTTGTGTGGGATAACTGACATGAAGCTGTTGCGAGTAAGATACTGAGCAAGGAGGCTGATGGCTGGATCCACAACCTTTCATCTTGAAATGTCGCAGTACACAAACTAGCCCTGCCTCTTCTGTGTGAGTTGAGGGGACGCCCTGAAGGACAGTGTACTTCAAAAAACTCCAGGAGTTAGATACAAAAGTATTGGCTTCCATGAAGCTGGATAAAGGACAGGATCGCCTGTTCATCTCAGACCCTGGGGGCTGACATTTGAATAGAAGATGGGAATCGCCTTGAAGCAGGAAAAAGCTAAGAAATCCACAGACATAATGATTTGGTATCATCCTCTGAAATGGCAGGGCTGGGGAGCAGGTGATGGCAGGAAGGGATGACGGCACACAATGAAATCTGCATATGTAAAGCCTGCAAAGTGACTGCTGCATTTTATAGCCTGCAGGTTAGGACAGCCTGAAAGCATATGGCACTCCTGCTTCTGAGCTATGGCAAACCACCAAGGCCAGCCCATAGGTGACAAGTCACAGCCTGTTTCCTCTTGTTTTTTCCTACCCACCCCCCCCCCCCCAGATGTTCTGGTTTAACTTGGATTTAAACTTGGAGAGTGGTCAGTTTAGATGAGCTATTACCAGCAGGAGAGTGAGTTTGTGTGTGTATGGGGTGGGGGGGATGTGAGAAAACCTGGATCTATGCAGGAAATAGCCCGACTTGATTATGTAAAGAGTTGTCACTTTGGATGGGCTAGCACCAGCAGGAGAGTGAATTTGTGTGGGGGGGTGGAGGGTGAGAAAACCTGGATTTGTGCTGGAAATGGCCCACCTGTTGATCACTTTAGATAAGCTATTACCAGCAGGACAGTGGGGTGGGAGGAGGTATTGTTTCATATTCTCTGTGTGTATATAAAGTCTGCTGCAGTTTCCACGGTATGCATCTGATGAAGTGAGCTGTAGCTCACGAAAGCTCATGCTCAAATAAATTGGTTAGTCTCTAAGGTGCCACAAGTACTCCTTTTCTTTTTGCGAATACAGACTAACACGGCTGTTCCTCTGAAACCAGCCAAGAAGCAGGTGTTTGTGCTGTGCCTTTCACTCAAACTGAAATGTATGGAATGTAATGTTGCAATCAAGCTCCTCTGCTTTTTTCAGCAGCAACACCTCTTGCAAACAGTAACCACAATTTTACACAAGGTTCAATGCAGCAGATACCTGATGTTGATCTTGCTTGCAAATTCATTTTTCAAAATCATCATCTAAACTGTTGGGGAAGTGGTTTGTATTATCTGTTCTGTTTCAGGCATTTTAGCAGGAACAGAAATGCAGATCACTCATCTTAGTGCAGTGGTTCTAGGCCTTTCCAGACTGATGTACCCCCTGATTTGTCTTGCGTACCAAGTTTCACCTCACTTAAACTACTTGCTTACAAAATCAGACCTAAAAATACAAAAGTTTCACTGCATACTATTACTGAAATTGCTTGCTTTCTTATTTTTGCCATATAATAAAAATTGATTGGAATATAAATACAGTAGAACCTCAGAATTACAAACACCTCAGGAATGGAGGTTAACTCGGAAATGTTTGTAACTCAACAAAAGGTTATGGTGGCTCTTTCAAAAGTTTACAGCTGAACATTGACTTAATATAGCTTTGAAACTTTGCTATGCAGAAGAAAAATGCTGCTTTTAACCGTCTTAATTTAAATGAAACAGAATTTCCTTACCATGTCAAATTTTTTTTAAACTTCCCCTTTATATTTTTTTTAGTAGTTTTACATTTAACACAGTACTGTACTGTATTTTGCTTTATTTTTTTTCCTCAGCTGCTGCCTGATTGCATACTTCTGGCTCTAAATGAGGGGTGTGGTTGACCGGACAGTTCATAACTGAGATTCTACTGTATTGTACTTAGATTTCAGTGTGATACTTGAGCCTGTTTTTCACTTGTGAGTCTTGTCTGAAGCCTGAGTCCCCCTGCCCGGGGCTGAAGCATGTAACTTAGCTTTGCAGGGTTCTCTGTGGCTTGGGGCCCCAGACAGTTGCCTTGCTTGCCACCTTCTAATACCAGCCCTGCACATGCGATTTCCCCCTAAACTTGTCACACGACCCCCCTAGGGGTTG